TCTTCTCCCTGCCCACAGAGACTGGCGGAGCTGCTGGTCTCGGTCCTGGAGCAGGGCCTGCCACCTTCCCGTCGCATCATCTGGCTGCAGAGCATCCGCATCTTGTCTAGGGACCGCAGCTGCCTGGACTCATTCACCAGCCGCCGGAGCCTGCAGGCACTTGCCTGCTACGCTGGCATCTCCGCCTCCCAGGGCTCGGTCCCCGAACCCCTGGACATGGATGTTGTGCTTGAGTCCCTTAAGTGCCTGTGCAACCTTGTGTTAAGCAGCCCCGTGGCACAGGTGCTGGCGGCAGAGGCGGGTCTAGTGGTGAGGCTCGCAGAGCGAGTGGGGCTGTACCGCCAGAGCAGCTTCCCGCACGACGTCCAGTTCTTTGACTTGCGCCTCCTCTTCTTGCTAACGGCACTTCGCGCCGATGTGCGCCAGCAGCTGTTTCAGGAGCTGCAGGGAGTGCACCTGCTGACCGAAGCGCTGGAGCTGACGCTGGGAATGACCCCTGGAGAGAGGCCCCCTGAGCTCCTGCCTCCCCAGGAGACTGAGCGAGCCATGGAGATCCTCAAAGTGCTCTTCAACATCACCTTCGACTCCATCAAGAGGGAAGTGGACGAGGTGAGGGCTGATCTTAGCCTGTGGGTGGGGTATAACAACTTGGACGTTTCTTGGGCGTGCTGCTTTGCCAGGTACCTTAAAATTTCTTCACGTCAGACTAGGAGGAACTCTTAGCCTGTCAAGAGAAGCAGGGAGATGCCCATCCGGAACAGGGCTCTCAAAGAAGTTTTCTCAGGGAGGTGGAGAGCGTAACTGGCTCTTGCAGCTTGGCAGGAGGGCTGTTTGGTGGGGGGAGGCTGTGAGAGACTCATCACCATGCCTCTGTGAGCATGGGCCTAAAGCTTAGAGCACCTCCAAGGGGATCCGTCAACGTTCTTAGTCAGGAGGGTGCTCTTAAGGTCGCGTGGGAGAGGACAGCATCCAGGTATACAGTAGAGGAGGTGTGTAATTAGCGCACGTGGGCTTGCGGCGGGCCAGACGGTAGACTCTCAGCTGGCAGCGATGGAGGCAAGTGGGGCTCTCTCTCACAGGAATCCCTTTCTCTTTGGTCAGGAAGACACTGCCCTTTACCGGCACCTGGGGATCCTTCTGCGGCACTGTGTGATGGTTGCTGCTGCTGGAGACCGCACAGAGGAGTTCCACGGGTGAGGGTGGTGCCTGTTGTGCGGGGGGCGTTCTGCTCGCAGGTCTCCCTAGTGGTTCCTAGCTCTAGAGTCTTCTTTCATCTGGGTGAGATGGACGTCAGTGTGTTTCCGGGGAGCTCCGGCATTTACGGTACACGGCTAGGACGAGAGCTGTGAGTCCGGGGACAGGAACGTGCCAGTGGACTTTGGGTAGTGTCACGGACAGTATGGTATCCATAAGGCAGCATGCTTATTCACGTACATTGTTGCTGACCTACGCGTAGGCAGGTTCTGATTTTTGACTGCGTTGCTTCGACCCAGATGTGCGCTGGGTCGGGCGTTCACAGGGAGTGTTCCCCTCAGCTCTGGTACCTCGTGCTCTTGCTCAGGCCCCCGACGCTGGTTCATATCATGGCACCAGCAGGTGGTTGCAAGCATTGTACCTGTGCTCGGGGATTGAATTTACCAAATGCCCCTTTTATCTGTCCCCAGCCACACGGTGAACCTCCTGGGGAACTTGCCCCTCAAATGTTTGGACGTTCTTCTCACCCTGGAACCCCACGAAGGCTCTTTGGAGTTCCTGGGAGTGAACATGGATGTGATTCGTGTTCTCCTCAGCTTCCTGGAGAAGCGTCTGCACCAGGTGGGCAGGGGGAGCTGCTGTGGCTCTGGTCCAGGCTTTCCCGAGCAGCTGTGGTCGCTGCGTTTTTGTAGTCCACGCTGGGAGGTGGAGATCAGCCCCCCAGTGTGATTCAGGTGACGCTCCAGCTCCTCCACGGTCCGGCTACGCAGGGGTCCAGACCCTCCTCCCTGAGAAGTATACGGAAACAAGTTTTCAGAGTCTAGCAAAGAACTCATTTTCTTAGATCTCCTTGTGGGTCTTTGAGTGGCCCTGAGAAGCCCGCCTACCTGTAGTCCCTGCTTGTGACCCTAAACTCAAAGTGTCACTGAGCACAAGCAGCCCTTGGTGACGAGCATTGGCCATGCCTTGGCATCCCTAAGGGGACCCGCAGGGCCTTCAAGCCAGAGACTCCCTGATTCCTGCGGCTGCACCCCAGGGCATTGGCCAGCCAGTGCTCTAACCAGCCCCCCTGGCGTTCGCAGATGTATCACGCTAGCCAAAGAGATTCTGTAGGGATCCATGTTGCCTGCATGCCCTGGGAGCTGGTTTATGTGCTCGCGGTGTGCTAACCACTTGGGACACTCTGTTTTCCCCACCATTCTGGTGTAAAGGGAGGGAAGTGAGACTCAAAGCAGTTGAGTGATTTGCCTCAAGTTGCAGGGCAGGCGAATGGTCCTGAGTTAGGGTCCACGCCTGTCCTTTTTGAAGCTCACACAGACACCCACTGCCCTCTCTTAGCCCCTCAGCTGGGGCCCCTGTGGCGGGGCCTCGTCCTGAACGCCTCCAGCCAGGACCATCTGGTGCATGTGCCTAGCTCCCCTGGCCTCGAGTTAGATGGGCGCAGCCCAGTGACGGAGGCTCCTCTGCAGACGCACAGGCTGAAGGAGAGTGTGGCCCCCGTGCTGAGCGTGCTGACGGAGTGTGCCCGCATGCACCGGCCCGCCAGGAAGTTCCTGAAGGCCCAGGTACGGGGCAGAGGGGCCGCAGTCAGGGCCTGGTCAGACCCTGGTCGTTCCAGGCCTGGGCTCAGGGACAAGTACATCCCCAGGTGCTGCCCCCGCTGCGGGATGTGAGAACCCGGCCCGAGGTGGGGGAGCTGTTGCGGAACAAGCTGGTTCGCCTCATGACGCACCTGGACACCGACGTGAAGAGGGTGGCAGCCGAGTTCCTGTTTGTCCTGTGCTCTGAGAGCGGTGAGTCGGGGGGCCGGCCCCTCGCCTGCCCCTCTCCAGCCCCTCCCCAGCCACGTTTGCACACTGACCTCTGCCCTGCCCTTCAGTGCCCCGATTCATCAAGTACACAGGCTACGGGAATGCTGCCGGCCTCCTGGCTGCTAGGGGCCTCATGGCAGGGGGCCGGCCTGAGGGCCAGTACTCGGAGGACGAGGACACGGACACAGACGAGTACAAGGAAGCCAAGGCCAGGTGTGTGCCCCCCACATCCTCGGGCTGCCCTCACTCGGCCCCCATTCCTATTCCCACACCCATTTGGGCCCGTAGGGTGGGCAGGACAGGGTGACCAGCAGGTAAGACCTTACAGAATCAGGCTGCTGTTCCCAAGTGACACGTATTCTGACATCAGGGTGTTTTGTTGAGAACACAGGCTGAAGGGGGCCGAGCAGTGCCGGGGACCAGGTGGTCCAGACGGCAGGAGCTGGTTACCTGCTGCTGCAGGAGGGAGGGCTCTTCTGCAGTGGCCTCGCCTTCCCCGCACCCAGGAAACTGGGTTTCCCGCCATTACAAGCCCAAGCAGGAAGATAAGCAACTCCACCCACCCCACACAGCCTTCTCTTGTCCTGCAAAGTCTCTAATGCATTCCCCATTCTCCCTCTTGTGAAACAGCATAAACCCAGTGACTGGGAGGGTAGAGGAAAAGCCTCCCAACCCCATGGAGGGCATGACGGAGGAGCAGAAAGAACATGAGGCCATGAAGCTGGTGAACATGTTTGACAGGCTCTCCAGGTATGTGGCCTCTGGCAGGAGGGGCCCAGCGCTGGGACAAAGGAGAAGGACCCACGTCCCGTCTTGCGAGAGCCGCGGGGAGTGGGATCCGCGTGGGGTTAGGTTCTGGCAGGGCTGCATCGCTAATGTTTGAAATCACCTGTCTTGGAGGAAATTCTCTAGCCAGGGGTTAGGGCTGAGATCAGTATTAGGTCCATTTTTACAGTTGATGAAAACTGAGGCCCAGAGAAATTAAGACACTGCCTAAGGTCTCAGAGCCTAGGTAGCAGTTAGGATTTAGGCCTGACTGAAACAGTTCCCACCTAGGCTTCCCCAGTAAACAGAAGCAGTTTGGTGGAACAGAAGGTCGCAGCCAGGGGTGAGCAGGACCCCTGCCCATCCCTACCACACCTTTTCCCTGTAGGCACAGAGTCATCCAGCCCATGGGGATGAGTCCCCGGGGTCAGCTCACATCCCTGCAGGATGCCATGTGCGAGACCATGGAGGGACAGCTCTCCTCGGACCCTGACTCGGACCCTGACTGAGAATGGCTGCTCTTCCGCTGCCCTTCAGAACTGGTGCTGCTTCCAGAGGAGTCCTGGGGGCCAGGACCTGGGGAAGCCACATCCCTCCCTCCAACTCGGAGACCCTTTTCTCTTTACTCCCACACTTCTATTCGTGATTTGCCTTTGGTCCATTTTCTTCTCTTCAGGGCTGCGAGGGTCTTGTCCTCCGAACTCTGGGAACTCGGCCTTGCTTTCCACAAATGAAGTGGCTTCTTTTATGTGTGCCTGAGGGCAGGGCTTAACCGAAGGCAGAAATGTACATGGGTTTGGGAGGGCAGGGGCTGAGTGTGGGCTGAGTGAGACACAGCACATCCACAGCTGGCACGCAGGCCCAGAGCTGGTGTTGGGCAAGCACCACATTTCACAGGGGAAAGAACCTGCTGGAACTTTATATGCTAATGCCGGAAACACACTTACAAGGTATGATCTGCTGTTTTTGTCACCACTGAGTGCAGGGCTGGTAGCCTCTTGCATTCTCGGTCCTGGCTCAGTGCCCAAGTTCTCTGGTTGTGCCAGTTGGGTCTCGATCCTTCCCACTGGTTTCAGCCATAAATACATGAAGGAAAATGTCTCTCCTGAAACCATAAGTCTAGATTTCTATCATGCACCACAGAGCTTCACGGAAAAATTATTCTGGAATAAAGAGTTCCAGGCAAGGATGTGTGTGAATGTATGTGCAAGATACCAAGTAAAGGCACATTAAGTAGAAAAAGAATCATGTTTTTCTTACAATTCAGCGCTTTTCCCAGATGCGCACGCATGTCTTGTTCTTGAAGAGTGAGGCCACCGGGTCTCCTGAGGAGTCTGTCGGTGAGATCTGCTCCAGCCCAGGGGCCCAGTGGGGAAGACAAGATGCCAGGAAGGAGAGAGCACTGGGGGCAGGGTTGGAGCAACCCCAAAAGAGGCCTGTACAGAAGCAGGGACACCACAGTATGTTCTGCCCAAACAGCAGTGTGGCCTGAGCACAGGTCAGGGAGCCAGGCGAGGTTTCCAAATGAGTACTGCTTTCTGTCTTAGAGGTTAATTCTAGCAGCATTACTGGAAGAAGGCCTGATGGGGGAGAGTAGAGACAGGGAGACAGGAAGCTACTGGAATGGTCTGGAACAGATGAGTTTCTGGGGGTTGATGTGAAAGGCATCGGGGTCAAGTGAACAGGATGGGATGACCTTCATGAGGGGTGCTGGGTGCTCTGAAGGTCCCATGGACTTGAGCTGGAAGAGGGCACTATGCCCATCTCCAAGATGAATCAGGGACAAATGTTCTCAGTCCTCGGGTTGTTTCAGTGGAGGAAAGACACCCACACACCCCCAAGCTCCCCTTTCCACATTCATCTTCCCTTTTAGGAGACAAAAATGAAGGGATGCCCAGTTTCTCTATTACAGTTTACTTCATGCCAGAAATGAAGGACAATCTCTAAAAATAAACCTACTAAAGAGGCCAACGTGCTAGAAAACTCTAGTGCATTACCTGGGACCCAGGCCCACACTTGGGGTGTGACTGGGGCTGCTCGACCCAAGTGGACAGATGCTGAACCTGCCCTTCAGGTGGAGTCCAGTCTGGGGTTCCAGGTTGTCTGAGTCCAAGAGGTTGACCATCAGAAGAACGCTTGTGGCATTAAGAACTTCAGCAAAAAGTCAGGCCAGGCAGCTCCTGCACATCTGTGGCTGGGGTGGCCCCAAGTGCACAGACTCTCATGACCTGGGAAGACACTCCAGGGGCAGCCTCAGGTCGCATGTTCTGATTCAGCCAAAATTTGTAAGCGTGCCCGAGCTGTTCTTCAGGCAGAGGGCTCGTCAGAAGTGGGCAGTGACTCCCATGTAGCCATTTCTGGCGTGAGGAGCAGCCCTCACTCTCCTAATTTGTCCCAACCGTCAAGCTGGAGCACAAAGGAGAGAGGAGACTGGTTATCTGAAAACATACCTGGGCACATCTCAGGGCCTGGAATTGAATTATTTCCTAAAACGGAAGCTTTTCTGCCTGCAAATGCTGTTCAACCAAGTTAAGACAATGCCAGCAGGGCTGGGCAAAACTGGGTGGCTAAATGGAGGGCTTCGCTTAAGTAACCAGTCAAGATGTATTCAAGTACATTCACTGTTTGGAAAAGTAATCCAACTAAGACTTCAGCTCATCCCTTAGTGTTGATTCTCGGACAGCAACTCTTTTAAAATAAGTAAACCCCTAAAATTGTAACTTTACACAAACTTCTGTGGAACTAGAAAATAGCACCGGTCAAATCCTATAGGACTTAATTCTAAAAGTCTATAGAGGCTACTTGACTTTGTCTTGCTGTTACACGGAAGTAGGAAGTCAGCCACCCAAGGCTCCTGTGTAAGCTGCCAGGCGGATCTGACCAAGATCTCTACTCCCCTGTGAGCAAGGCATCCGCTGCGGTTCCTCTCGAGGTGTAAAGTGTAAGCATCCGTATTAGCCGGACTCTGCTTCCATTAAGCGACCCAGCAACGTGACTTTAACATTTGATGGTCTTTATTTCCTCCATATAATGAAATGAGAAATGGCACCGTCCTACATCTTATCCCTAAGAGCCAAACTCTGGATTGAAAGGCAATGATGTCTAATATCATGAAAACAATATAACTGCAAAGTCTTATATCTTTAAAAAGCCTCATATTCTTCTTGCTTTGGTTCAAATTGGTAAGAAATCAGGCTATAGCCAGAGGCTGGGGGCTTTTGCCAGTGGACGTGAGAGGAAAGGGCTGACTCATGGCCCTGAGTCCTGAAGCAGCCACGGCCAAAGGGTGAGAGGTTTCCCAAGATAGCAAGAACATAAATTACAGCATTCTAGTGAAGTCCACTTTCAGCAGTGTTATACCTGGCTGTAATCATAAATAATCCTCTTTGAGACAACTGGACTTCAAATGCTTAATGCTGCCCCCTGTAGAAAATAACCCCTCACATCAAGGCTACACATGCTAACTGATTCTCATGGGAAACTGCATTTTCTGTAACTTCACTTGTTTATAGGAGGTTTGACATCTAGAGAGATCAAGGCTCTCTGACTTTCTACGCTCAGCAGATGATACGTCAGCTCCTCTCACTCTGATTATCTCCTAAAAGCATCATCCCACACAGGTTCAGAGAACTTCAGAATCGCATCTTATCCTGGAGTGCTCCTTTAGTTTAGGGTACAAAGACAGCTGAAGTGTGACGACTGCAAAACGACAGCCCTGTCTGCCTGGACCCTCATCTCCACTCTGCCACTCAGCAGGCACGAAGCATCAGTTTCTTCATCTCTAAACAGAGGTACTAAGAATCACATCACCTGATTCATAAGCACATAGATGGCGCCAAACAGTGCCCGGTACAGGGTTAACAGCAATATTACCTATTACTGTTACTGTTTTAGCCAAAGAGGGCGCCACTCCAGGTTGACCAGACCCCAGAGTAGAAGAGATGGCCCCTCCCGTGACTCTCAGCAGTCCCTACCTTTCCAGTTTCCCGCTGGATGAGGTCCCGCATCTCCTCCGTCCAGCCCAGAAGCTCCACCAGCCTTTTCACACCGTGAACCACGTCCCCCAGCTGGACCACATCCCTGCCCCGAGGATGCCTAGCCAAGGACCCCACCAAGTCCCGGTTGATGAGCAGTCGGGGCACCGAGCTCCGCACGGCCTCAGACAAGCTGGCGAAAGGTTCCACCTGAAAAATTGCCCAAACGTGAGGAGCACAGTGCCCGCCCTCCCAAGCCCTCAGGACCTTTCTGCCACAGCCCCTGCAGCCTTGGAGGGACAGCACAGACTGACAGTGAGACCTTGGATATGGAGAAAACCCAGCATCTGTTTCATTTCTTCAGTAGCACTCCCACCGCTGGGTCTCGATGCCCTTGTTCCCCCCCTCCCAGCCTCCCTCTCATCCATGCCCCCTTTCTCTTCCGACATCTCCTGGGTCCTGTGGGTCTCCCTGCTAAAGTTCATGCACACCACCTTACCTGCCCTCCTCATCCACACTCACCAGTGACATGACAGCTCGTCTATCTGGTCTCGCTCCCTGAGAGCAAGGGCCCGGCCCCTCACAGAGGGGCCACCACTGGGGGGTTCCTGACACACACACTGCAACAGGGCCTGGCACACAGCAGGCAGATTCACTGAAAAAACACACAGCTCTGGGCCTCTGACTGGCTGGGGCCCCAGGCACAGATCTTTCTGGCCCCTCTGCCCCTTGGTGCCTGCATCCAATCAGGCACAGCCCATTTCAGGGTCTCATCACGTCCTTTAGAAGTCTCCTGATCTTCAAATCCGGGTGCACCTCCCAGGCACCTCAAACACACGTGTGCAGGACTGCACTCAGCATCCCTGATCCAGATTCCCCCTCCCCAGCAAAGGCCCTGACCCCCACGAAGAGACAGACACCTCTCTCTTCGGTCCTCAAAGTGACGCCAAGCTCCGAGTCCAGCCATTCCCTCTCTGCCGTCTCTCGTAGCCCCGCAGTCTGACTGTGCTCAGCCTCCTGGACATCTGCTCACTTCAGTCCCTGTCCCCAAGTCTCTCTGATCCCGAGGATGACCAGCTACATCCCTGGTTTCACTACCTCTAGACAAGGTCGGTCTCTGTGATACGACCCGAGAGACCTGCTCCCGCCTCACATCTCCCACACCCCTTCCCCTTGTGCACTGTGCCCACCTGCACTCTGGATAGCTCCAACGCTGAGCGTCCTCCCTGCTCCCCATTCTAGGCCTGGAACACCTCTGCCTCCTCGCATGTTGAATCCACTCATCTTCCAAAGGTGTGGCCCCAGAGCGTCTGTCCCACCAGCCCCGCCTCCTCTGCCTCGTCCCGCCAGCCTCCTCCCCACATGTCTGTGCACCGCAAGGCCTGCTGACAAACCTCCAGAGAGGTCCCAAGGATGAGCAGCAGGTCTGCGGTGGGGAAGTCAGCCAGATGCAGCAGGAACCTGTGGGGCAGCATCTCCCCAAAGAATACGATGTCGGGCTTCACAACGCCAGTGCAGACCGGGCAGCGAGGGACCGTGTCCACCATCACGTCGGCCTGGGTGACACAGAGAGAAAGGGGGCCCAAGGAAGCTGTCACAACACACTTCAAACGGAAAAGGCAAAAACAGCTTCTTATTGAGAAACTGTCAAACGTTCCACAGCTGAGACAGTAGTACAGTGAGGCCCGCTGTATATACTGAACCAGCTTCAGCAGTTACTGACAGTCTGCCAGTTTCATAGAGCACCCCAGAATTTGGGGAGGTTGCAGTATTTGAAAGCAGATCCTGGACACCAGACGATATCCAACGCATTGAACGCTACGCTCTGCACCTGGGGTGCTTATCAGAGATATGCAGGTGCTGAGGAAACACAGCTGACCTTGGAACAATACAGGGGTCAGGGGCACCAACCCTCCGCACAACTGAAAATCTGTACAGAACTTAGAGTTAGTTAACCCTCTGTACAGATGGTTCCTCTGTATCTGTGGTTCAACCAACCATGGATCAAGTAGTCCTGGAGTACACATTTATTGAAAAAAATCCACATATGAGTGGACCCACACAGTTCAAACCCATGTTCAAAGGCCAACTGTACTGATTATACAGTCCTCAGAAGTACTCTG